ACCGGTGTAAAATAGGTACTTGCCATAAGCTGCGACTCTCGACCCTGAAAGGCCACATTCTAGAAATGTCTTTTCTCAAGAATGCATTTCACCAATTCAATTTCAGATATAATGGCCAATGTCGATGCCTGCTCCTCAAATATATCCCATATTCCATCAGATTTCACCTGACACATCAATAGATCTACAATCACTTGTGCCAAAGCGAAATCGCTCTTCTACTAACTTAAGGCGACACAATTATGAATATAAGAGATCCGTCACTTTATCTGTTCGTCATATAATCGGTAAAAAAATTGCTAATGTGATATAGTTTTGTGACTACGAACAATATTAGGTGAAGTAATTGCCACATGATGCCATCCATTCAGAAACCGTTCAACGGGGATGGATTGCATACACTCTTTGATATGAGTCATGCCCAGTGTTCTATTGTATCTGCATCCACAATAATCCATCAATCGAGCTGAATTGTTCTCGGTTGATGTCGATCGAACTGCCCACGGAGCCAATGCGCTTCCACTTCGTAAAATCACACCGCTGAACAGATCTGAATTTGAACAATTTGATGCTTTTATTCACTGACATACTTCCAGATTTGCAAAACAATTTTGAGTTGAATAAACCCTCAGGTATCACATTCAAATGTATGTTTCTCGATTCATATCTTATCAAGCTGCTTCCATCGCGTACAACTGCACACATCTATCTTTGTGGATGATCAAATTTTCACCAACATTTTATAAATGTGGTCACATTTCTGGCACAATGATATTTTTCAGTATTTGTTTGAAACTATATCTCACTCGTTCTGTATTCAAGATAAACTCTTTAATCGCTCCATCAGCATGTTCAAATCATCATTATCGCATTTCTGATAGGGCGAGATTTTTAGCGATTGAATCGTGAATAATTTCACATTCCTTATTGGTTTTCTATTCAAATTCGTTTTCTGTTTGTACTCTGTTATTGAAACAACGCTGAAAGATACAACTTCTTTCGTACATTCATTGCATTGAAATGACATTAACTCTGAAATTCATTGCATCTCGAATCAATCACCCTAGAGTCAGGATGAGAACAACTGAAGAAAAGACAATGCAGAAGCGACTTGAGAGTATTGAAACTAAACACATACTAGGTTTTATCTTATCTGACGTGACCATATCACTTCAAAAATTGTAGTTATCATACAAAAAATTCTCAAAATCACCGAAAAACTTGAAAACATCTGTGAGAAATCCACTCAATCGTTTGAAACAAAAAAGAATGTGAAGATGAAAAGATAGAAACTATTTCCATTAATTTTTTACAATTCATTCAGTGCGGCCGCCCAACAATTCGTTTTTCGATCATAGTAAACTCATAATTTAGATAATATGACGCAGAATCGACAGTATACCTATGTATAAGCCAGCCAACAGAAAATACATCTTCCTGACGTCAGCTGTTAAAATGAAACCTGCGTGGGACGTCGAACAGATGGGAGTAATACGAAATGAGTGGATAATTTGATGATAAATGAAAAAAAAGGTGACTTCAAAAGATAGTGACAAAGAAATACCGATCTAGATGGATATATTATGCTGTTATCGCATCATCGAATATCACTGGAACGATTTCAAAAAATTCATCAGAAAGTGATAAATTTTTACGTTTAGGTTCGCGGTCAATATGCGTCATTCCCATATTCTCATTGCACTGAACGAGCTAATGATTTGCCCCATTATATTTTATGATATGACTGAAAGTGATAAGTGACAACCTTTAGTCTTCGGTGAGATAGCTAAGAGACTCGCACAAGCAGCACCAGCACTCTCTCCAGCCAGCGTTATCCGCGCCGAATCTCCACCGAAATTCGGCGCATTCTCTTTCAGCCATCGAATCGCTTGAATCTGATCGTCGAGACCGAAATTACCCGTTAATAAACGATGCGATGCAGTCAAAAAACCTGTATTGTGAGATTTAATCAGTTTTGATGCCCTCAAAATCCTTACACTTCAGATTACAGTAATCATATTTGGTCTGCAGATTATATCAAATGATCACTTTGTACGCCGTATCAATTGCTTCAGATGTAGAGCAATTTCTTTAACAATCGCAATTTTACGGATTTAAATCCATAACTTAATTCACTGGTT